ATATATATATATATATATAGCGCTTTCATTGAATTGCTGCACACCCAACGCGCCTTACAATCATATGAGGGGATCTCTCTTCAACCACCACGCTATTACAAGAGAAAGGTATTGATAATCACAACATGTTGAACGTGATCCTTATGTTATAAAGAGGAGCGATTTTTAAACTAAATTGAATTAACCATTTGCACACACAAGCATTATCCGGCTTTGCTCCTCCTGACCGCAGACGCAGGTTTACAAGCCACTTTTTCCAGCATTTTTCAGTCAGATTCTAGAATTTTCCCCCCTTATGAGCAACATATTTTCGTACATGATAAAAGCTTCTTGTGGTTTCTCGGTTTGTCCGATTTGAGCATCCATAAACAACGCAAAACACTGGCATTTTGAGTTTCTGCTAGTGATTTCTATGGAGAAAAATCACTTCCTGCCCTCCAGCTGCATTGCGCGCGTCATCAGAATCACGTGATAGCAAACTACCTATTCTGACACAGAACGACAGAGGAGAAGAAATTGTTGAATAAAGTCATTATTTTTGTTTGCTTTGCAAAGGTTGAACAACTGATGTCACATGGACTATTTTAATGATGTCCTTACTGCCTTTCTGAGCCTTGAAAATGGTAGTTCCCTTGCTGTCTAGAAAGCTCTCGGATTTCATCCAAAAATAACTTAACTTGTGTTCAGAAGATGAACGAAGGTCTTACAGGTTTGGAATGACATGAGGGTGACATGAGGGTGACTTTTCATTGTTATTGACTCTCTTCATGGAACATTAGATTCCAATAAAGAACTTTTATTTTTAAGACTGAACTACTGAGCAAACTTTAAGTCACTTAATTAATATTCATGAGCCGAAATTAGTAATCATGTGCCCTCCCTACCCACTGTTCAAATCACTCCTGCATATCATTTACAAAGCAATTTTTGTGATTAATAATGGGCTTTGTCATAATGACAGTAAATTAATCCAATGTTTTCTTGAGCACATACCACATAATAAGCTAATTCTATTTGCTAATACAATGACAGTTAATTAAAATGATTTTGTTTGTTCCTAATATTGATTCATGCTCATTTTATTAACACAAACTGTCAAAAGAAATAGTGCATTAATTTTACAGAAGGCTAAAAAGGGTGCCGCAGTTGCAGATAACTGTTGTATGGAAAGTGTTGTTGACGAGGTCTGAACACTGAAGGCAAGTTGGGTTCCATCTCATTGCTCTCCACAGGGCTGGCATGACAGGACAGTGGTGACGGAGGCACTTCTGTAAATGTGTGTGCTAGCGTGTGATTGATGTGAGGGATGCTGAGCCGTGAATGCTGACACAGGAAGAGCAGAATAGGTTGACTTCAGGAACCTTAGGCTAGACTCACACTCACATTCACTGGCCGATTGTTATGTCACTTAAATAATATTCATAAGTCAGGCTTATACAATATGCACCCCTGCTTTCCTTTTCGAATCCGTCCAACTCCCCTGATAATAAACAATCACTATCTATCATTTACTAGAATCTCTAAGGCACAGAAACTCTTGATATTCACTCAGGAGGATCAAATGGGAGAACAAAGAGAGAAAGAAAAACAGAAAGCACAGGGAATGGAAAACAGATTGAAAGAGCATTCCGCTACTCAATTGTTTGTCTGTTCTCTCAGTGGTGCAGAAAGCAGAGGGCAGGTGATAATGGCAGTTGACCATAAGAAATGTAGGGAGCAGCAAATGAAGAGAGACCAAGTGACCTCAGTGTAATTGCTCGGCATTTTCACTGGCTCAAGGCAATCATGCTCAATGTAGTGTACAACACGCCATTGTGCACAGCTACCACTCCATTCAAATGCCATATGTCTACATGAGTGGCTATCAGATAAGTTTGAGGCTTTGTGTCAGTCGTCCAGTTTGGTAGGGATTTTCTACTTAAAAAAAAGATCATGTCTATTTTACAAAGTAAAAATATCTGATTATGTGCATGTTCTACAAAACACTCCAGGTCTCTTGTGGACCAGGCATACCTGTTCATTTGTTGGTAGCTCTCCAGCTAGACCTTTTTTGCCATGAGACACAACCTGGACACTGCACTCATTCCCTTGCCATCTGTCTGCAGCTGAAAACACTCGCTTTCCATACGGTAGCACGCTGGTAGCAAACCCATCCCCAGCTGACAGGCAAAACGCTTTGAAAGAGTGAACAAGGCAAGCTCAATTGGCTGATGTGACATTGTTTTATCAGAGTGTGCTGGTACTGTGAGCGGTGTGTCCTGAACTGAGGGGAGAGTAGTGGGGGGATTAGTTCAGACCGTTGGACACGCTTTGGCAAAGTTTGTCCATCCGCTCATCAGCTGAGAATGCAATTTAGCAGCTTGCTGCAAGAATGCAAACCATTTCTAATCGCAGAACAGCATGGCATTTGCCAAGTAGGCACAACAAACGGGGAAAAAACAGCTCTGTTGCCCATCGGCTTAGTTCTTAAGGTTCTGCTGAACTTTTCCCATAAAAGGATCATTATGAAAAGCAGCAGTCATGTCCTTGCAACAACAGCTGACTGAAGCACAAGCCTCAAAAGAGAGCTGGTCACCAATACGAGCTTGTCTCTCTCTTTCATTCTCTGTTGGTGTTTGTGTTTTCATCTGACAGATTTCTACAGCATGTAATCAGTAATGATGATTTAATTATTATGATGAGAGCTGAATGAATGCAACCAAGTGTATCTGACTGGCATTGAACTAGACACCAGGTTTTATAACGTTTCTCCACACATTTTATCTCCAAACGGACATTAGCTTGTCAGAATCATTTTCTACTGCTTTTTGAATTGACAGATTGTGCAATTTCTTTCATGACCAAAGTCAGTTTCTACAGAGATTAAAAGGAATAAATCCTCTTTATCAATCCTGAGCACGAGGCTCATTTGTAACACTGAATAATTAAAAAACATAATAGTAACAATAATATTATCAATAATAATAAACTTGTTCTTATTATTATAAACGTCACATCAAATTAAACTATTAATATTATATTTATAATAAGAAGCAAGCATTATTATTATTATTAATATCATTATCCCAAATACCTGATTCAGTGAGAATGCATTTGGGACAGGTCAGGAGCAAGAGGTCAAACGCTTGAATAAGACAAATTGCTCTTATTTTACAAGGTCAAGATAAAGTTTATTTATTTTATCTGCTTCGATTATTTCGCATTAGTATTTCATTCATCCTTGCAACTAGACCAAGGTAACAACAGCAAGAATTTACTCACCACTCGTACTCATGATGCTGAGACAATAATCCAAGAGTAAAATGTAATATCCAGACAGCAGCAGTCACCTATTGTTCCACCGATGAAATCCAGTTATTGATCCTCAGCTTGAAGTCAGAGTCGAACCGTTAGAGTGGGATAGAAACTCGAGGAATAATTAACAAAAATATTAAAGCTCCCAGTGTGATTCCCGGATCACACAGGAGGGCAGTGATCACTTGGTAATAATGGGAACGGTGAGTGCAGGGCTGACAGCCGGCTTCAAATAAAGCGGAATGTTGCCTAGTCACATTCCATGATATGCTGCCGTTTCTCGCGTGTAGCCTGAGATTCACTCAGTGTTGCGTACAGTGAACGAGGCGCTGTCACTGTACTCTCGCGCTCGCATCTATGGAAGCGCTCGCCGGGGTGACGTCAGCGAGCGCGGAGCAGCGTGTTTCCTCACAACACATCTATTCTGCAAGCGCGGACAGCGCTGGAGGAGACAGATTCGTTGATTATAATGGCAGCGCAGTGTTTTTGTCTTGTCGCCTGCGGCGGATTTGAGGTGTGAGGTCATGCAGGGGGAAAGTTGAAGGGTAGGGTGGGTTTTCGCAGATTACGGCATTTACTGTATATAGACGTATAGCGCCCTCTTATGCAGAGTTAGAAAAAACACAGTGCAAATACAGCAGACAAAATTGGCTTCATTCAGGAACCTGACAACCAAACAAAAGCTTCTTACACTATGACATTAACCCGTTTACAGCAGAATTATTTTCCATAAAAATAAAAACGACCACGCACGCTTTATTTCTACTCTTTAACTGCAGCCACAAATGATAGGCTAATCGATATAAAGTGCAGTTCAATCATGTTCTATAATGTAATACTCATCTTATATAGGCTAAATAAAACATGGCGTAGCCAAAACAACTAAATTATAACAAAACAAAAACAACAACAACTGTAGTTTAGATAAATATAATAGTCAGAATTATGCCATGTTTTCTACTTTGTGCTAAGGTAAAAATATTATTTTTAAGCCAAAAATTAGCTAAAGTGTGATATGATGCTCATGGATTGTTTAAGCAGCATCTAAACTAATAATACATCATGAACTGGGTAGCATGATTCAGGTCTATAATTTGACACATTAACTGAACAATATTAACCTCATTCTTATAAACCGCTATGGACAATGTGTGTTCGATGAACTGAATATTTTCTATTGGCAAAAATGGTGGAAATGTTTTTGCCTTTGCCTATGGCTTTTATTTGTTTATTTATTTTGGAGTCATACAAAACCTTAAAAAACACTACACTGAAAAAATATTCACTAGAGAATTTTAAAAATGTGTTATAAGCAGAAATAAAGATGACATGCTAACGTACTGATTCTTACAGTTTTTTCTTACACTGAATAGTTTTTGAAACGATTTGTTATTGAAGTACTCTCAAATCAAGGTCAGTGAGTGGAGAAAACCTCTTACCTGGCAATTTCCCATTTATTTTACTCTTGATGTACACTAGTAGTCACTCTTTCATCACTTTACGTCTCAGAGGTTTGTGCTTATTGCACAACCTCACAAATCAGCCCAGCATTCATTCCTTTGTGAAAGAAAAAACTTTCAATCTGAATACACTGTAACCCACAAAGAGATAAAAGACTTTACGCAGGTGCCATTTAGAAAAGTAATAAATCACATTCACAAGTTCACTGTTTGTTCAGCACAATACAGACTCATAGACCTATGAACTGCACCTTGGTTAATCTGTGTTTTATTATTTTATTTTTTTAATTATTATTAAAAAAGCTCTGGCCCATGGGGAGGCAGACAGGCAGTTGGATTTAACAGGACGTCTCTTATTTGCAAGTTGTTCTCTTTTGTGTGTCCTAACCTAAAGGCTCTGTGTGTTACACGTATTTTACTGTCATGTGTATACAGAAACAAAGGCAAAGAGGAAACAGCACAATGGAGGGATGTGACAGGCGCCTCACACACTCTACGTTTCTTCCTCTCTCAGTCTGTCTATCTCACTCCGGTTGCTCTCTTTGCCTGACCATGCAGCGCTCTCGTTCTGACAGTCAGATATTTTGACAGGGCCATAAGGTTAGTGTCTGAGACAGACAGTGTAAGCAGTCAGCATTGTTCTGCCTGTCATAGCATCAGCACTTCTACGCTCCCCTCCCATCTGTATGAGACGAGTACTTCCTAGATATGTAGTTACTCCATTTTAAACATCACATTTATTTTAAGCCGATTCTGATCACCTGTTAGAAACCAGGTCAAATTCTAAAACAGATATCAGTTATTTGTTAAGCATGTGCGGTTTTTCACATGAAATTAAGTAATTAAATTAGCATAATTACACTGACTGACTCACCCTGCATAATTGGTGATCATTTATGAGGTAAATTATATTATAGATGTTTGTCACAGAATTTTATAGCCTGCATAGCTTTGATTTTACAGCCTGCATATCTTTACTGGAGTGTGCACACAATGTAATCTGTACCAGGAGTATGTGTGTTGTGTGATTTTTGCGGATATCGTGGGCTGTAATGCTGGTCAGAGCTTTGGATTTACCATTGTACTGAAATATGACAGAGTCCACAACAACAGGAAGTTGCTCTTCCTTAGGGCACTGGTACAAAGGGGCACCGGAAAGCAATGCCTCCCTGAACTACCCCCCACTGTGAGCTGCCCTGAGGTACATTCACTAGCCACAGATTTATTAAACTGTTATGAGTTTTTAATTGCACAACATGCTGTTTCTATGAAAGGTCCTTTAAAGGATTAACTTACCCCAAAATGCCCTTACATAATTTCAAACTCGCATGATTGTCTTTCACCTGTGGAACAAACCATTCAATAATAATAAAAAAATCTTAATCAATTCTTTTTTTTACATTTTTAAAGTGTTTTATTTATATATTTGGCAAGTACAGGGCAGATTAATAAATGTCACTGTAAATGTGCTAGAATTATAGGCAAAGTAGTAGTTACTGGACAGAATATACAACATCACTCTAAAAAGAAAATACAAAACTTATTTTAAAATTTAAACCAAAAACCATCATTAACCAGTTTGATCCAGAAGAAAAGAAGAAGAAGCAGAAAAATTTGATCATGGCTCCCGATTTTAAATCACTGACTTTATTTTGATTTTTGGGCAAACGATTCCTTAAACTAAAACTATGAACACTGATTAACATGATGTATGTACTAAACACAAACTGACAATATTTGTGTCTTATTTACTGAGAGCGCCAGGTAAAAGTGAGCCGTTGACCCAAACTGTAACTAAATCTCAAACCAGTTAGTGAGTTCATGGCTTCCAAGTTCAAATCACTAGCTGCGTTTACATGGACCCTACTAATCCGATCGTAATAGGACTAGAAGCACAATCAGAATATAAAAGTCACATGTAACCACGTCAATCGGATTGAATTGGCCAGATCCGATTCAGATTTCGATCGGATTGTAAGGGGTGGTTTATTCCTTTTGTAATCCGAGTAAGAGGACATGTAAAAATAGCTTAATGACATATGACGCCCGGAATGAGCTGTTCTTCCTGGTGAATAAAGTGTCATAAATGAGTGTCCCGTCATTATAAAACTCCCCTTTCACTCAGCGTCTGTGAAGTGGAGCAGCACAACGTCCCACCAGTCCTTGTTTAAGACTATCATCCACAGACGACTGGTTTTGGGCGTGGGAAGGGGCACTTTTACTGCTTTATAAAGTAAGCAGCACAGCACAACAGTTCATGTGCTGGTCGTCGCCTAATTAGGACCCGAAGTAGATAAATATCAAGTGTGCTTTTTAAAACAGTATGCTACAACAGCTGGAATCTCTGTATATTCAGGCAGTGTGCGCATGTCAAAAGAGTAAATCCGATCAGAAGCTTGTGACATATAAGTCCGCATATCAACCCGATCACTTTATTTAGCGTTGATGTAAACACTACGTTTGGATTCGTCAATCAGAATGAATTCATTCTGATGGAAGCTAAAAGTGTCCATGTAAACATACCTACTGACTCGATTTTGGGTGAACTATTCCTTTAAAAACGAAGTATACACTGATTACTGAAGTATATATTGAGATGTATATATTGGATATCCCAATTTTTTGTCATTTATTCAAATAATTTTGATAATATTTCCCCAAGAGATACACTGAGTAAGGAAGTTCAACTTGAGAACCCAATCAGTCCAATTCAGAAATGAGTCATTTAACCTGTTTTGCAGATGAAAATAAAATGGCAGTTCATTCATGAGACTGACTCAATGACTATGGATTAGCTATTCATGTAATTTACAAATAAGATGTACACACTGCGATATGCTAACCACAAAAAGCAAAAGTATTCCAAAAAGCTTTGGAACATGTGCTGCGGAGGCCATCAGCTGTTTGTCTTGTGTGCCATGTTAATGCCGTGACTATGGTTTGGGCACATGGCCTGATGGCTCCACCAGTGTGGGGGTTTTGATTCTCTATCATTTATGTGGCATGTAATCCATTTACCCAGACCATCTGAGACCTGTGGCAGGAATTAACCACACCGTAGTGCACATACTGCCTTCTTTCACAGCCCAGGCAACCAGTCACATGTCCTACCCCATCATCTCAGGGGGACTTTTGAAATAGCTCAACAACAGTCTGTAGAACCTGGAGTCTGTTCCAGGGTTTATATTTAACCGAGAGAAAAGCAAGAAATGAGCCAAGACCTGGTCTGTTATCTGACCTACTAACAAGATAAAACCCAAGGAGAAGCATAGGAAATTCTTGGAAAAATAAATAATAATGATTTAAAGACAAAAAATGAATTTTTAAAGATCCTAACATGCTATCTTCTCTAAAAGCATGATGGGAATGCGCGTGCGTGCACACACACACAGTATCTGGATATGCTTTAGAAAGCACCTTTGGAATGTGAGCAAGAGGGCGTATTTTACTGTAATGGAGTTGATAGGGACTATGAGTTCTATGAAAAACAAGTCAGACCAGATGCATTACTCAAAGAAAAAAAATGTGTGAAATTCCTTTCCTTTTTGTTGATTTTCGAAGAAAAGACAACTGGTTGGATTCACGAGTCTGATTAGATGAGAAGTGGAAAGATATTCTGTATTTGCTGAGTCATTAATTTAAGACTGTTTGTTTGAAGGTTATCTACCATCTTATGAACTGACTGAAGAACTTCTGACCTGACTTAGAGTCCAACAGAACAGGGGAGTGAGCGGGCCGGGCTCAAAGAGAGAGAGAAAAAGAGAAACTGAGGGAATGAAAAGACAGCATATCATTTAGGGGAGGAGTTTACATACTTCCTTCAGCTAAAGCTCTAAACTCATGCTACAAGGACATACACGCATACACACACACACACACACACACACACATACATACACACCCCTTGCCCTACAGGAGCATTACAGACTATGATGGTTAGTTTTAATCAGTTTGAAAGGAACTTTTCACCAAATCCACAGAGCACATACTGACAGATCTATGAGGAACGAACATACTGCCGGGAGTCAGCAGGATAGAGGTACGCGCTCTCT